AGGAGCTGGGGATAGGAGACAGAGTGGAAGGACACAGTCTCCAGCAGTCCTCAGCTGCAGGGAGATATGTGGGAAGAGGATGAGAGCTGACAGGTGTCACATCTGGCCAGAGCCAGGGCAGGCGGGCATTCCAGTGGCCGTCACCCCGATTAGCAGCAGGCACATCCCACCCTGATCTGTCTCACATCCCTGCAATTCCCCCTCCCTCTCCACTATCCTGCTATTAACCCGGGGAAGTCAGGCCCAGACCCTCCAGAAGTAGAGCCAAGAGCTTAGCTAGGATTTAAAAAAAAAAAATTGATTAGATATTTCGGGGAGATATTCAAGAGCGGTTAAGTATGCCCAACTCATTGGTGCCTTTGAAAAATCTCACCCCTCTAAAAAATTAGAATTGATTTTGTATTTAAAAAGGAATCTATTTAATTTAAAAGTAAGATAATTTGAAATCATGACAGCTTGTATTAAGGCTGGAGTTCATGATAATCTATTAAAGTCATTGAAGTTAAGAACCATCTCCCATCCTCTGCTGCTGAGACTCCTGAGAGGGCAGTGGGGAGTGGGAAGTCGGGAGATGAAGGGCTGCACTGCCCTATTTCAGAGCACACCAACTGGGCTGGAAACCTGGAGAGGCAGAAGCAGCTCCTTCAGCTCCTCCATACTCAGGAGAAAAAAAAAACAGCATGCAAAAAAAACATCCAGTATTTCAAGATCTTGAAATATCTGGCACCCAGAAAGCATGAGTTCAACCCATCAGCTCCGCTTTCTCATTTCTCAAGTCGATTTTACACTCAAAAAGGTGTTTCAAGACTTTACTTTTCAAACATTTATTGCATTACAGAGAAGGCAAAGGAGTCAAAGACATCGTCTTTGGTGCAGTTTTTAATTGCATCACAAATCTCCGTTGAGCCCAAGGGGCTAAAGGAAGCCAGGATGCTCATAAATACCCCTCGTGTTACTTTATAACCTGCAAAGGATGGGGCCCAAAAAAATTAGCAGCCTGCAGGAGTGTGAATCCAGTTAATGACATATCAAATGTGGCTGGATGCTGCCGAGACAAGCAGCGAGGGAGAAGGGGGTGTGAAGGCGAGCGGACAGGGAATATTGAGCTGCAAATTAGCATTTCTTAATGGCCACCAACCAGCAAAACGCTTCCTCCCTTCAGGAAAAAATACAACTAATGCAAGAAACACAAAACGAGATGAAAGGCGACCATTTCAAATGAAGGTTTGCTTGATTTAAAGCAGGATGAAAGCAGGATGAAAGCAGGTGATTTTAAATGCAGGCAGCCCGGTGCACAGCAAGTGGCCCCATCCTGGCTCCCACACCCTCGGCACTTCCTGAAAACTCAAGAGGTGGGGAAAAACCCTACAGTAACATGGGGAGATGGTGTTGGAGTCCCTCTGGGGATAAACATATGAACCAACGTGGGGTTTATTGGTGAGAGCCCTGAGCTGCTCCTGACCAAACACAGGCAGTGAGGCAGCACGTGTGCAAGAAGGCAGCCAGCGCAATTAAAACTCACTCCACTCATGAGCAAGAAGAGCTGTAAAGTAGGGGAAAGTCTTGTCCAAGCATCTCGCCTCCTCCTAGAACAGAAGTCATAACCCCACAGACAGCCCATCTGCTTTTGGAGGAGCAGAGGCATAGACACCAGGTCCCCATGTTTGGGAGATCTGAGCACCAACACACCCACAGCTGCCTCTGGCACCAGGATGGACACAGCAGGGAGGGTGAGACCCAGAAAAGGTGCATGGAAAGCAGGCAGCAAGCACTGCCTCACCCCCTTGCGTAAAGATAAATATAGAGCTCATCATTAATTCTTGTTACCAGAGCTTCCCATCAGAGGTTTTCAGGGGTCAGGAATCACAGCCATTTTTGGCATCCCCAGTCCAACAACTCCACCCAGCACTTCAGCTTTAACAAGCAGCGAACGTGGCTCTCCAAAGACCCCAGCACATCTTCAGTTCGGAGAAAAATCCATACATCCATCAGTGGCATGCCTTGTTTGGCCACTGTGGCAGGGAGGTGTCACCAAGGCAGGGGAACCACACATTCCAGTGTCCATGAAAATTAGCCAAGTCCAAAGGCCTTTGAATTATTTAGGAGGAATTTGAGGGGGGCACCAGGACCAGAGGCAGATGATACCCCACCATCCTTGGGCTCCCTGATCCAGACCCTTTCCCAGCTTCTCCCCTCACTCATCCCCCCTACTGTAGCCACCTACCTGCATGTTTGCAACCTCTTTGAGGGGAAACTGAGGCATGGAAAGACCTTCCCCACCCCGCATAGGGAGCTGATCGAGAGCCCACATGGCAGAGCCAAGCTGCCAATGCCATGAGCCTCTGTGAAGCACTTCATGGTGCTTCCAGCCCAAACCCTGGCCCTTTGTGATCAGGGGCAACACCTGGGTCTGGACCAAGTCTGTCAACCAGAGTGGGAGCTCACCTTCCCTTGAGAACCCCTTCCCTGTGCACAAGCACTAGATCTGAAAACTACCAGTGCAGAAGAAGCAGCTGCCCAGCTCCCACTGGGTCAGACACTAAACCAGACCAGCCACCATCCCCTACTCCAAGACATTATTTATTACACATTCAAACTCAGCAAGGCGGGTGCAGTTAACAGGTCTGGTGTTTGCCAGGGATCGTGCAAGCAGCACTGTGTGAAGCCACATTTCTGGAAAGATGCTCAAATACACCCTCCAGTCCCCACACGAGAGCTTGTGAAAACACAAAAAGCCACTCACACCACCTCCAGGCATCAACCTGGCACAGCCATGTCCCCAGCAAGTGTGCAGTGACAGCGCTGATGCTCTTGGGTTTTTTGGGCTGGGGAACCTCCAGATCCAGAGGTTGAAGCCTCTGAATTACCAAGTCTGGGTCTTGCAAGACTTCTGTGCATTTCAGAGCTTCTGCCATGCAAAAGCAGTGTCCAGGCTAATAGTGGTGGTAGTAGTAGTAATAATAACAATAATAATAATAATAATAATAATAATAATAATAATAATAATAATAATAATAATAATAAACCAACACCACCACATGGTAAAGCAGCACAAAACAGTAACACCCACAGGTGGCAAAGCAGCCATGCCAGCTTCAAGGCAAGGAGAGAGGAAGATGTAACATGGCATTTACCAGAAGCCACAACCTGGCAAACAGAGGGCCTACAAGGTGCCCCTTCTTGCCAGCCCAGCCCCAGCATTCCAGGCAGGAAGACTTGAACTGAGATCACTTCTGTGTCTTCACAACCCAAACCCCTGCATGCTGGGGGCTGGCACAGCACCATTGCATGGTCATGGTTTTGGGGGATCAGTATCCCAAGCAGTAATACCCCACAGAGCCTGGCCAGGAAATCAGGGTGCACTGGCACAGGGCTTGTCATCCTTACACTTGTCTGACAGCAGAGAGTAGAAGGAGGCAAAAGCAAACCCCAGGCAGGTATTATCAGTGCAGTCGGGGCTGCGAGGGCAGACAGCTTCTTTCCTGCACTGCGCAGCGTGTGGTACCTCATGGATTTGAAAAATCCCTGAGGAAAACCCTACAGTATAGGCTGGGGTCATGCCCAGGAACCTCCTCCCGATCCACACCCAGGTGCTCCCTGCTGGCAGCACCCGAGGTCCCAGGGCCCATTGGGGTCTGACTCCACAGGATCAGGTCCGAGGGGGCCAAGGGACAAGCACTCGGGTGGCCTTTGGAGCATCAAGGTGCTGGGGACTGACGGCCATGCCTGCGTCCCCCCGCATCCGCAGCGCTGCTGCCTTGTTGCCACAGCAACGCTCTCAGGCCTCCGCTGCAGCATCCCTCAGCACCAGGCTTGGACCAGGAGACAGGGACACACCACAGCCTGCTGCCCCTCCCCACACAGCCCGTGGACTCCAGCAAAATACCCCTGGCTGTTCCCACATACCCTCCCCATGTCATCAGCAGTCCCACACCTGCCTCTGCCTTTCTCCTGGGAGAAGGGGAATACCCATACAGCAGCCAGTGCTGCCCCAAGCCCCACCAGCAACCAGAACTGTTTAGCATGGACGAGTCCACAGGCCATGGAAGTGATGAACTGCTGGGAAAAAAACCCAGTCTGGGGTCACCCCTGTACACAAGGGTGGTACTGTGGGATAGTGTCACATCAAGCAACACACCAGTACTTCATTTTTGGGCCAACATCCAAACAAGGGTGGCATTTAAAAAACTTCATGGGACACCCAAGGTGCAGGTAGAGAAGCAACAGATGGACAAGGCTCACAAGAGGTGACACAGCCTCTGTGGGACTGCTAAGGAAAGTGATGGTGGCATTTGCCCAGGGCAGGATGTTATGTGTGGGCAAAGAACTGATGTTCTGCACCAATGTCACCAAAAATGAAACACCTCAGTGACTTGTTCCAGGTGGTGAGGAGGGAAGAAAGTCCCTGCACACAAGGAGTGGAGGCCTCGCTCTGCATAAACAAAGGAGCAAATTGTTGGCTTTTTTTGGTGGAAGAAAACTTAAGGAGCCCATGAGACAAGGGCAGATAAGCCTCACCCAGCGGATGAAGAACAGGTGGGAACCACTCAGACCATGTGAACAGGCCAGAGCCCAAAACCTGGGGGCGGAAACACTGGAGGCAGCACTCACAGGCAGGATGGGATATACTGGGCAGTGGAGTATTTTTCCATCAGGCTGCAGGAAAGGTGACTCTCTGCTCAGGGGCAGACAAAGCAGAAACCCTCACGTCCAGCCAGGCACGCTGGGAGCAGACTGTGGGCCTCCTGCCAGCCGGTGGCCATTGATCGAGCCAGGGACGAGCCCCGTGGATGGCAACTTGGGCATGCATCGAGCACCCCAGGCCTGCAGTATCTCCAGCCGTGATGCTGCAGTGCTGAACCAGCCCCGGGGCTGCGATGCTGCAGCGGGTGTACCAGCCCCGGGGCCGAGCAGCCGCAGGGCGCCCGCCCGCCGGTGCGCTAGGGAGGAGCCCCGCCGCCGGGGATGCTCGGGGCCCCGCCGCGCTCCCGCAGGCTCACCCAGCACGAAGTAGGGCAGCTCCGTGTTCTCCAGGTCATCCACCACCACCATCTCGCCGGGGAAATCGTTGCGGACCGAGAAGAGCAGCTTGGGCTCGGCGGCCGAGGGGCCGTGCATGATGCTGAGGTCGTTCTCCCGCAGGAAGGGCAGCGCAGACACCGTGATGCTCTTCAGCTTGCACTCCAGCTCCTTGGCCGCCGCCTCCGCCGCCGCCTCGGCGGGGCCGCTGCCCGCGGCCAGGCAGCAGCCGGCCAGCAGCGAGCACAGCCCGGCCAAAGCCATCTTGGAGCCCCGCGCCGCGCTCCCGGAGCCGGGCGGGAGGCGGTGGCGAGGGGCGGGGACCGCGGACCGGCGCCTCCCCGTGCGGCGCGGCTCGGCACGGCTCGGTTTCCCCGGGCCCCCGCCTCTCCCTTCCTCCTCTTCCCCCGTGTTCCCCCCCATCCCTGGGAAATGGGGAGAAGTGCGGAGCGATGCGGTGGCGGGAGGGATGCGGGACTGCTCGGCCTCCTTCTGCACTGAGAATAGCGTGCACGTACCACCCCCCTGCCTAGGATAAATTACAGAACTCCAAAATCCCAGACTTCAAAAATCCCCGGGGAAATCCCAGACTTCCAAAAATCCACGAGGTGTCATGGAACCCAAAGCCCCAGAAGAAGTCACTGACCTCAAAAATCCCAGAAAAAGTCACAGACCTCCAAATTCCCCAAGCCCATATTAAATTTTTATCATATATATGTGCGTGTGTGTATACATAGATAGATATTTTAAAAATATATATACATATTTATGCGTGTGTATATATATCTTTATATGGAGTATAAGGACAATCCCAAACCTGCTGGCTTTGGATTTTTTTTGCCAGATCTGGATGGTTTTTATTTTCACCCTCTTTAAGTGAGAACAAAGCAGTACTTGACAGCTTGTCTGACAGCCACACCTTCCTGCAGACACCTGTGGTCCCCATCGAAGCCAAAATCTTCTGACAGAAAATGTTCACTTCTTCCACTGTGGGGGAAATGCCCAATCCTCGTCCCATCAGGAATACACGGCCGTGGTCTGCTGGTGTGGTTTTCCCCCGGGACTCTCCTCATGGCAGACAGCTCTGGAACAAGGTGTGGAAGCATCACAGAGCTCCCGTGCCACAGCTTCACACCATCTCCTCATGGGTACATAGTCCCATCCCACCTGGCACCTTCAAAGAAAACCACACACAGCAGATACTTTAGATTTTTTTTGTATTTTTCTTTTGCAGAGCTCTCCACCTCCCCTTGTGAGGGTTTTCCTGAATTCCTCCTCCCTCATGTGTGCCATCTGTGAAGCTTAACACGCCCCATGGTCAGCATCGAGGGGGGACGGCACTGTGCCCCACACACCCCCAGCAGTGGGTGCTTTTCCCCAGACTGATCTGTATTTTTAACCCTCTGAATTTTTAACTTCCATGACACTTTGGGCAGCAAGAACTATGCTCACCAGAAATTACCCATTTTCAACAACCAGAGTGAAGCAATACTGAACTAAACCAGTGGGGATGTAGTAGGGTGTGTTTCAGCAGTGCTGTCTCCCTCCAGCACCAACTGGCTCAGGATCCGGAGAAAGAGCAAAAAGATGGGGAAATCCCATTGGATGATCTCCACAAGGCCCTTCCACTGCTCTTCTTTCACCACAAACCCATTAAAAGGAACTTTTTCATTCTGAAAAATATATCTTTTTAAAAGGTGCAATTGCATTATTTAGAGGGTGTCTCCAACAAGGTTCTTTCCACGCTACCATTCGGAAACGGGATGCACTCCCAGGAGCAGTACCCCGGGAATGAATGAACTGGAATGAACTACGCCTGAAGAGGACCAGGGAAGGGGTTTGGTGGGAGGTGTGGAGAACACAGATGGATAAATAGAACACATACTAAAAAAAATCCGAGAACAGTAAATCTGGTGTCACTGACGGCGTTTTCCTGCTGCTCACAGGGAATGACCGCCACATGAGGCTGCCCATAGAACCTGTGAATGTGGATCCCTGCAAGCTTTCGACGCCAGACTGGGGGGGCTTGGAGCAACCATGTCTAGCGGAAGGTGTCCCTGCCCATGACGGGGACATGATTTCTAGGGTCCCTTCCAAGCCCACCATTCCTCGATCCCGGACATCCCGCGGCTCGCTAACCCCGGCTCGCAAGGCGGGAGAGGGACCCCCGCGCCCCGCCCCGCCCCGCTCCGCTCGGCCAATGGAGACGCGCGGGGCTGCCGGCGGCGCCTCTGACTGGCTGCGGCAGCTGCATATATTAGCGGCGCGGCGCGACGGCCCCGCGCAGCTCGGCAGAGCCGGCGGTGGCCGCGGGGGCGGCACTGAGGGGAGCTCGGGATGGTGGCGGTGCCGCCGGGACCCGCCTGCACATGGTGCGGCTCGGCGGCGGGGCAGCGCCCGGAGCCGCTGAAACTGAGCGGATCCAGGCGGTACGCCAAAGAGAGGCGGCCCGTGCTCCGCCGGCGCTGATTTGGAGCCTGGGGTGAGTCTGCGGGGTCGCGGGGAGGAGTTGGGGGACGGGATTTGAGCCGGCCTGGGGATCCTGCCTGTGGTGGGATGGGGAAGGAGTGGTGCAGGGCGAGCGGCGGCCCCGCAAGGGCGGAGATCCTGGGTACTAACCCTGGCTTGCTTGCTCGGTGACCTTGGTCAAGTTGTGTCCCCGCTCCGGGCTCGCTTCGCAGCCTCCCCGGCGAGCTCGGGTGTAGGGGAAGGGACCGAGTCCTTCCCGGGCGGGAGCCGCCCCGGCGCGGGGCCCGACAGGTGAGAGGCAGCTGCGATCGGCCCAGTGGGACCGGGTGCTGGCGGGCTACGGGATAAACTGGATGGCCGGGATGCTGAGACCTGCCGCTCTGTGCTGAGTGCGCTGCTCGGTGTGAAATGCCGCTGTGAGGAACCCCGCGTCCGCAGGGACCGGGGGAGATGCCCCCGCAAATGTTAAAACACACATTTCTCCGATGGGCACTGATCAGTCATTAGCCTGTGGGGGCATCGCCCATTCTCCCACCGCAAGGCCCCGCTCCACCACCCGGAGCATCGGGTCGCGCAGTGGGTGCGTGACCCGTCGGGAGATGTTTGCTCACCTCGGGCGCCTACCCGGCACAGCAGCTCCGGAAGCCGCGGAGTCCCCGCTGCCGGGCTCTGTTCCCTTCCCCTAAACACTCATCTTTCCAGTAAGAAACGAAACTCTGTGTCTTTAAAGCGCTGGAGAGCATCAGCTCTCGGCGCAGCGATGCTCACCCTGCCTTGTCCCTCCCCAGGGGACCCGCGTGTCGCTTCCCTGGAGCGGCAGTGGCGGGTCCCAGAGTGCCGCCGGTGTGGTCCCGGGGCCGGCACTCTGAGCCTGGGCGCTGCGGGGCTGAATAGGACCTGCCGGCAGATGTCAGTGTCCCCTCTCTGTCAGCAGCCAGGAGGGTCCCCTGCCAACCCCGGAGATGTTGCAAGGAGGCCCCTGCACTTTTTCCGAAGCGGAGCTGTCTTTGGTGGCCGTTCAGTGACAGTTTGGAGAGCTGGGGAGCAGCAGGGTGCTGGAAAGGGGAGTGGCCCCACTCTCACACCCCAGAGGAGGGCTCCTTCTGTATTCCCAGCACCAGCCACCCACCACCTTATTTATTCTGCGCCGCTAAGGTTGAGCTACACTTGTGCATCACTGCCCATCTGTGACACTTGTCACTCTTGTGAAGACAAGGCAGGGAAAGGAAGCTGTGTTCTTCACCTTGCACTGCCCCCAGCTCCTGCATGAGGATGGTACTGGGCATGCAGGATCTGTTAGTGGGAATGAGCCATCCTCCCTGCTGAGGAGGTTGCAGGGCTGCTCTTTTCCCCTGGCCCTCTGTGCACACGGTTGCTCTTTTTCCCCATCCCCTCGTTTGCAGGGGTGCTCTTCCCTGGTCCCAAAGATCCATCTACAGGGATTCTTTGGTCGTAGAGATCAGCGTGAGGTGGAGAAGCCGGAACTGCTGTTGCCATCACTGTGCTGGGGGAGGAAATTTTGTTTTACACATTGCTTTATTTAAGAGGTTTTTTGCCTGTCGGTGTGAAAGTCTCGGGTGTGCGAAGCCAGAGGGCAGAACACATGGCACTGGTGCGACTCGCTGCGCGCAGCTGCCATCTTCCCTGACAGTGGCCCAGGCTTCAGCTCATTTGATGTCTTATGCAAATCCTTGGCTCCCTGAGTCCTGGGATTTTCTGCTCATCTTCAAGTGTCTCGCTCTTGAGGATGTGAAGAAAAAGCTAATAAAAGGAACCCAAAAGGATCCAAAGGACTCAAGTCATGGAGTCCTACAGGTTTTCTAACAGATCACATGAGCTGAGAGGAGGGCAGTGACTTAGAGTCCCTTGGCTATAGTGACTGAACAGGCTACAGAGGGTGGCTTGCAGGAGCCCAGCGACAATCTGTTGACAGCTGCGGTTGTGATCTTCAGCACTGCGGCTCTGGCAGGACAGGAGGCTCCGAGGTGGTTGTCCCTACGCTCCCCAGCTGGAGCTGTGTCTCCGAGGCCAGCTACCTGGTGGCTGCCAGCACCCTGCCGTGCCCACTTTGCCAGTGATTACTGCACTGCTGTTGCTCCGGCAGTGCCTGCTTTGCTCTCTTAATTACCCCGGCAGATCAATGAGGCCCTGGCGCTTCCTTGGAAGTGCGCGGATATGAGCCCGGCGATGCATCTCCTTGCAATCCACAATCGAGCCGGGGCAGGAGGCAGAGGAGACAGCATAGTCAGGGAGAGGCAGGGCTGGCTGTAGGGGAGGTGGGTTCCATGAAGCCCCAGGTGAGACTGGTGGCTCTGGAGCAATGGGAGCATCCTGCAAAAATTTATCCCTTTTATTTTATCCCTTTTAATTTATCCTGTCCCAAGGTGGGCAAGCGGCAGAGCAAGATGTGGACTGGGCACCTGCGTGAATTCATAGATAGACGTGGCTTAGCTGAGTCAATCCACTTCAGATGCTAAACTGCACTTAGCCTTTGCCCAGGCTCTTTTGAGTGGCCTTAATTTGATAAAGCTCTTCCATGTTTAATGAGAAGGTGACTCAGTCACTAGGTTTGATGTTTGTTCCCACTAAAAGGCATCCCCAGGGAACTTGAGATCTCTCCCCATTGCTCCTGCACAGATGCAACTTTGTTCCCACTGTGCCCCAGGGATCACCTCCTGTGACTGGGCACATCTCACAGCTTTGCCACCAACTGGAGTCATATACGTGCCATAGACAGTGGGGTTTGCTTTGGCTCTAGGCTTCAGCTCAGCATGTACAGAGGTAGTTCCAGAGAT